GTATAGAATGTCGAAAAAGTGACCGGCTCATTTTTTTCCAATCTACCTGAGCTGGACTATGGATATATGAATGCAAATTGAATTGCATTCAATGTATAAAAAGCGTGTACAATCATTCGGACGAGGTTGTTAAAATTGGTGAACGAATGAAAACGTTGTTTATTGTAGGCAATGGAAGAATTAGTTATTAAAGGTCTAGTCAGAACAATTGGTGTATCAAACTTTAATTTAGAACAACTCAAACGACTATTAGCAGCAGATTTACGATATAAACCAGCAGTAATTCAGGTATGGTGGATTTTGTTTGACCGTTTGTCACTGTTTGATCGTTAGTGACGATGTTTGATCGTTAGTGACGATGTTGATCGTAAATAACCGTGTTTGATCGTTAGTAACACTGTTTGTTCGTTATTCACCATATTTGATCGGTAGTGGAGATGTTAGATCGTTATGTTTTTTCGTTATTTACTATGTTTGATCTGAAGATGTTTGAAAGTTAGTTAAGATGTTTGATCGTCATGAATCTTAACGAAGATGAGCCTAGTGACAATGTTTGATCGTAAGTGACGTTTGAACGTCAGTAAAAATGATTGAACTTAAGTAAAAATGTTTGATAGTGGAGATATGTGAGCATGATGATGATGTTTGAACTGGTACGCGTTTCATTATTTTATTTTAGGTTGAAGTACATCCTTATTTTAGTAACAGTGAACTAATAGAATACTGTAAAAAAGAGGGGATTGTTGTGACCGCTTATTCTCCACTGGGTAAAGGCGGGGCTAAATAGTGAGTTCATATATTTTGTTTATGGCTGCGTAGGAGTTTTACGAAAGTGCAAATTTTTGGGAACCTTTTCGGGACCATGTACTGAATATCGCATGTTTATCAGAATTCTGCTTTGAGATCTGTAGAATTTATCTGAAATATGTTAATTTAAATAATTATAGCCAAACTCATATCATTCACATTATTTTCAGCACCTCGGAAAGTTTACCAAATATACTGACTGATGAGGTGATAGTAAAGTTGGCAGAGAAATATAAAAAATCACCAGCCCAGATTGCTATTAGATGGGGATTAGAGAGAGGTTACACATTGGTACCAAAGAGTGTTACACCAGCAAGAATCAAAGAAAATTTAAAGGTTTGGTTCTTTCTTACCATTGGTCAAATAAATATTTGAATAAATGTTTTATCATATAGGTTACATGAGTTTTTCTCTTATTACTAGTCAAGACTATGATAACAATGTCTCTCTGAAAACGATGTCTAGCTGAAAATCATGCCTAACTGATAACAATATCTAACCGATAATCATGCCTGACTGATTACAACACCTGCTAGATGTCTGCCTGATAATCATGTCTGCCTGATAATCATGTCTGACTGATAACAATGTCTAGCTGATAACAATGTCCGGCTGATAATCATGTCTGATTGATAACAATGTCTGACTGTCTTGACTCTGTAATTGTTATAATCTGAAATTCAGATTTCAACGACTGCTTGCATTTGGGAGAATATGAAATATTGCTGGCTTTAATCGAAACGGTTTCACCGCGATCTGAAAAATTGCAGTTGATCCCAGTCAACGTCCTGATCATCGCATCATGATCGTTTCACTAATATAAAATTAGGCTTCGATAGACACGATGGAATCGGCAGTCGACTTTGAGCCCTTATTTCGATTGTTAACAATTTCAGACTGATATCATTGATGCAACACTGATAAAGATATTTAAAAATTGAATATTATTTTACATTCTTCTTTCTTTTCAATTAGGTTTTTGATTTTTCGTTAACGAAAGAAGAGTTGGAATCGATAAATAAACTCGATCGAAATTTTAAGGTGGTTACTTTAGATAAGTAAGTAGCAAAAATTTTGTATAAGTTTGGGTTTTTAATAACAGATACATAAAAATAATATACTTAAAGATGCTTTGGAAATGAGTGTGTTTGGGTATATCTTAAACAGAATTTAACGCAAAGTATGATGCCGAAACGCGCATAATGTAGATTTTATGAAAATGTAGAATACGAACTAAATGCGATATCGATATATGCATTTTAAGTATAATAACGTATTTATTTAAAAAAGCTTTCAATAATATTTATTGTTATAGTGCCATATTCTACATTCTATAATGTATTAGTTTATCCTTTATAATACTTAGCGGATATAGCAGTTTATTTTTGTTCTTCCAGTCAAACTTCAGCTATCCATATCACTTACCGAAATGAAAATTTTACGCTTGGGTAGACTTAAATATAAACATTATTTTCGTGGTGTTTGATTATATACAGTATTATATGGAATAACTTTCGACGTTTCGAACGAACAAGACTTTACATTCGAGAAGTGATATAGATGGCTTAATTTCATTTTATAACCCTTGAACAATTTCCGAACCTTTGTAACCTGTAACCTAATAGAGACTTGTTTCTTTTGCAGGTTTAAAACATTTCCAGAATATCCGTTTAAATGGTTACTGTGAACATACTATTATTGTTATGTCAAGTTCTGTTATACTCTTTATATTTATAAACAAAACTCTAATTGAAAATATGCTTGTTATCATTGAATTTATCCCGAATCCCACTGACTCTATATTGCTAATGGTAATATTTTTTTAAAACTCAAGATTTATGCCATCTCTATCGTGTTCCATAAATTAAAAATGAAATCAATGAAATCTATTTTTTGCACGTAATAAGTTAGCCTAATGAATGGTCATTCAAATGAGGAAATTTTTGCAAGACAGCGGAACTAACCTACTTATATTCGATTTCCAACTGTCGAGGACTCTTTAAAGAGGCAGATGCGCCATGAGTGGGGGAGTTAAGTGATTTTTTAAAATTAAATATATGTAGATCTAAATAGATTTAGAAATGTACGAAATTGGATAATTCCATTAAAAATACTCACTTTTCCTTTATATATGTCTTTTCTATATATCACTGATTTAACATTCAATCGCGGATAATTCTAGACACACATAGATTTGAGTCTCACATTTCGACGCTAAGCTTTGAACACTTACTTGTTGGCCTAGCTAAAAACAATTCTGAGTCTCCGTTTCTGAGACTACAGTGCATGATCGATGAAAAAAGTGGCCTACCTGTCCCTTTTAAGTGCACCGCCTGTAGGTGCGTTTTTTTTCTATTATTCCAGTTTTCAATTTAAGGGGAATTGCAAGAACTGCAGACGTCTGACTGAAAATAAGAATGGTGCAAATCTATGCTAGTGTCGACATAGGCTATAATATTTCGAAATATTAAGTGGAATTATAGTACGGGATCAAGGTCTCACCCGTAAAGAAAGCGATAATAACGTGTAAATATGAACTGGAAATTAAAAAAAAAATAGTTAAATGAACCCGATTTAACACGCGATGGAAACGAATTCGTAGCTATACGCATTCATTAAAATAAACGATACGAATGGGCCATAATAGACCGCTAGCTTCGTATCTACAGTAAAACCGACCGTATTGAATGCTGCATGAGTAAAATTCTATTTTAACATGTTCTATTTTTAGAACTGATAATAAAAGGCTTGACAGTTTTCTAACTGAATCAAATCTATAATTTGTAATGAAAGATTTTTTTTACTTCTTCAAAGTCTGCTGTGAACACATTCCAATAACCTAAAACATTACTGAAGAAATTTGACATAAAGGTGATGTATAGGCCTAGCTTATCTTATATAATTTATGGAACTAACTTTTAGAAATTGAAAGTAGAATGTTGTTTATTGCCAAATCAAATTTCAAACCATGACTCTTTTATTAGGGGCTGAAAAGAAGCATTCCTCACAAATTCTCATGAGATGTCAGATGTTCAGTTTTAATAGCTCATAATGTAGTCAATAAGACTTGAGGCGACTTTCGAGACTTCCGACACTGACCTGAGATAGGAAATGACATAAGATGAAATATTGAAATGGAGTATTACATCCTACTTATCTGGAGAGAGGTCCAACATCACAGGGAACATAATATTGGAGACTGTTAGAGAATTTAAGACACCTGTAGCCTACTGTGTTGCTCTCTACAGTAGGGCCTAAAGGTCTTTCATGTATTAGGGCCTTCAAAGGCAGTCATAGCTGACACAGGGCCTGATTTTCTTAGATACCGTACTATAGATACTTAATTCGGTAGCCTACATTTTTTTTTCACATTTTTTTTTTTATTTCAACCAGTCCTTATGGGCCTATGGTAGTTAAAGGGATACTACGTCTAAGAATAAACATAAAATTTAAATATTTTAAACTTGGCCAATAAGAGCATATATTTATCAGTAGATATACCTGGCGTCATAAATAACATAACAGGATCCTTATATAATCCGATAAATCCAAAAAACTTAATAAATATGCAATTAACTATTGAAAAACGCTTAATATTATGATTATGCATTTTTCAATAATTACTTAGTTTTATGAAATTTCCAATTTTTTAGTTTTTACAAGGATTCTGTTGTAACTTTATGCCACCAGGTAAGTTCACTGATGAATATATACTCATATTGACCATTCTTGAGAACTAAAATTTTATGTTCATTCTAAGATGTAGTATCACTTTAAAGCCATTGAACTATAAAAGGCTAGAAAACCTAATTTAAATACATAATTCTGTATATTTTAGGTAAAGAAATTAGATTAGAAATGGTGAAGGCACTGAAAGATTTATGTTTATCATGTGTTATGAACAATCTAGAAAAATTCCCCAAATTACAATCCCAGCTACCTTCAAAATACAAAGAATTACTGATAGAAAGATTAGCTGATCATGATTTATTTACACCACACTATGTTCCTCATATCATCAATAATATTTTCTCAGCTAACCTTAGAACTATAGTCCTGTATGAATGTCAACAGATTACGGATGACATTTTGATCAAACTGTCTAGAAGTCAGTGTAAATTAGAAGTTTTAAAAATACATGGATGTCATTCTTTAACAGGTAAGCTTCAAGAGACTGAAATAATTTGTTTCTTTTCTTTTCCTTTTTTTGTTTTTGTTACAGACCCATTCAGAATCTGATTAAAATCTGGATGTTCTAACTAAACTTATCTTCCATGATCTGTCAAGATTTTTCTTAAAATCATGTTCTGTGGAATTGATCCAATAGCAACACAAATTGTCATAATTTATGGGAACCATTAAAAAGCATACTAGAGGTCTAGCAATACTAGCCAATGAATATCCCTGAATTGCACACAATGTAGTGAACAATGCATTTGATTGGTTGAATATTAAATGACCCAAAACATCAAAACATCCAGATTTTCCATTTTGTAAAAATTTATGCATAGCCTTAAATAATGTACCATTTTTTTTTAGATTCAGGTATAGAAGCAATCACAACAAATCAAGATGAATTAGAATCATTAGAGTTACGTAGATTAACTAAAATTTCTTCAAATTCTTTAAGAAAGATCAAATCTGAGAAGTTATGGAGAGTTGATTTAAAAGGATGTTCATCTATTAAAACAGAAGGTATGAATTTGTCTCATGTAAGCTTACTGGTGGTAGTAGCTTATTTGGGGGCCCATAAATAATGAAAGTTTATTCTATATTTGGAAATGGGGGTCAATCAACAACCAAATCAACAGTTGACTATCCAAAATTTCTGATACACAATCCAGGATTGTTATGATATTGGTTATACTTTCCAATATTGGAACAGAAGCAAGAAGTCAGCAACTCCACAAAGCAATACATGGTGGTTGTGGGTTCTTATCTTTGTCAACGTGTAAAAGCTGTTTCTTTCAAAATTGGTGAAGAAAAATATTTTCATTTTCATGTTTTTTTCATTTCATGTTTTGATATTTGTATATTTAAGGAATTGATATACTAACAAAGAACAATAGAAATATTAAGGTATTGATATTAGGTAATAAAACTGGTGTAGATATATCCGTTTATCAACATGTAGCTGAAAATCTTCAACATTCTTTGGTAAGTAAGGTTCTTGTAATTAATCAAGTTAGCATTGGTTCATTTGCGTCGTTTGCAAACAAGTGTGTCATGAAGAACCTGTTTCTTGGTAACAATAGCAAATTGAAGGATAGCAAAACCAAAAGTAGAGCAATATGACAGCCTCTTCCCATCTGATATCCCCTAATTTCAATATCATCATTGAAAAAAAATTTCTACTTGACATGTTTTGATTGGTTCAATATAACATCATAAGAATGGGACTTGTAAGATCATAGTGGAAACGGAAATAAAAAGAAATACAATTGTAATCTACTTTGAGTAAAATTGGTACTGATATTTCACTCGTAGCATGTTAAACCTATCTTGTCTATCCCAGGAAGATTATTTTTAAGATTCATTAAGAAAAGTGTCCTATTTTAGTACTATATTAAAACAATTAAAGATGGGTTCCCTTATTTTCATTTATGAAAATAAAAATGCTAATACTTATATGAATAGAAAGTCGATGTGTTCTAATGACTTGCAAAAATACCAGTTTGTCTCACATGTCCATAATTAATTCATAATTAGCTAAATTAGAAGAGAATTACCACCAGAATTCCAATGAGTGACCCGATCAAGAAAGGTCAAAAAGTCTTTTTTTGTTTATCCAGACTGTACATATATGGACATTTATGATTGGTTAAAACTCTTTAGTTATATGCAATAAGAACATAATGATAGGATTAAGAATACATGATAATTCATTAGAAACACCAATTCATCAAAATGTTTGCTTAATTTGACACTATAATATGAGGAAACCCATCTTTAAGAATATTAATTGGAACATTAAATTTCTAACTATAATGTTTATATTTTTATAGGAAGAATTTAATGCTTATTTACATGCAACAACCTCAGAATGTCTATATCATTTATCTGAATATTGCTCAAATCTTAAAAAGTAAGTCATCAAGTTTAAGACATCTTTTTGTATTTATACTTAATCATTCAAATGCTTAGCTATTGATAAACTAATTTAGTACAGCCAAAATAGTTGCCTTCTCTACCAAAAAGGTTGTATATTAAACTTTATATTAAAATTATTTTTAGCAAATTGTAAAAAATGAAGTTTTTCAAAAAAAAATTTTTGGGTATGAGTGGTTATATATATCAATATAATGACAGTATTAGAAATACAAGCTAACAAAGGGAATTCAAAATTTTTGTGTGTTTCAAGATGTTTGCTGAACATCATCTCAATTTGTAATACAATTGTTCAGGTTGACATGATTTGATGTAGGCATGACTGCAAAATACAGCCAAATCAAGGGTATTTAATTTGACTGAATTATTTTTTTTTTTTAGATTAAACCTCGAAGGCTGTACATTGATTGATAAAGATGGTTTGATAAAGGTAGGACTGTTAAAGATGAATATGCTTTTAACACTTTTCAACAAAATTTTGTCTCTTACTGATCTGAAAATTCTTATTTGTTATGTTGCTGAGCAACTTGGCAACCTTCACCTCGCCAGCAACATCCAGCGTAGTACCCATTTAGTCGGGCTCAAATTTGATTAAGCTTTTGGCCTTGATTTGAAAAGCTTACAGGTTTTCTAAAATTTTGATGTGTATCAGGGACACTGATAGTATCAATTTGCACAATTCCAATTTTCATTCAGACCTCCTGCAATTTTTATTGAGACGTCTGTGGATTTTGAAACTAAGACTAAAACTATGTGTTTCATGACGTCACTTAACCATAAATATGCTTCATAACATAAGACCCTTTGTAATTAGTGACATCATCAAACACTTCGTTTTAGTGGAATTGCAGGAACCACAGACATTTAATGAAAATTGGAATAGTGGAAATTGATGCTATCAGCGCCCCGATACACATAAACAATTTAGAAAACTTCTTTATAATCCATTTAATGAATGACAAATGACAATCATGTCCACAAGCAGAATCTTACGGACTAAATTTCAATTACATGTATCTTACTTTCACAAAGATATAATAGCTTAAAACGCTGATTAACATACTATCTCTTCTGTATTCTAGTTATTTCAAGGCTGTACAAAACTGGTTGATCTGGACTTATCCTATTGTAATAAATTACGAGATTATCCAGACAATGAAGCATTTTGGATATTACCTCAAGGATTAACAGACCTAACACTGTGTGGTGTTATGCTGGAAAATGAAACAATATTTGTTGAGTGTTTACAACGATTGCCAAAATTAAGATCTATACATTTATGTGGTGTTACTGCTTTAAATGACAATACTTTAACACAGGTATGTTTGAAAGTCGTAAACTCTTACTAGTCTGTGCAAGACATCATGACATCATAGGTCATTACTGCTTGAAATTTTAAAACCTCTTAACTGGTTTAGTATTTTGTTATTGAATGTTAAGTTAAAAGAATTGTAAAGAGGTTTTATAAATTTTTTATGTGTATCTGAGACATTGAAAGAATGAATTTTCACCATTCCAATTTTCAATCAGATGTCTGTGGTTCCTGCAATTCCACTAGAACTAAGTGCTGATTGCAAAATATGCTTTATCACATAAGGCCCTTTGTGATAAGTGACATCATCCAATACTTAGTTTTAGTGGAATTGCATGAACCACAGATGTTTGATTGAATTAGACATCAGATTTTGAGCTCTATCAACTCTACTGTTTCAGATATTAGAAAAAATTGGTAAAGATTTAACAACACTAGATGTAAGTGGATATGGAGGTTTTACTAAGAACTTAACAGATGCTGGTATTAAATCTGTTAGCAAATACTGTTATAGTTTACAGAACTTAAAGATTAGCTTACTAGCTGATGTTACCTGTATCACATTATTACCATTACTAAAAGACAGACAGAGAGCTTGTCAAATACAGAAACTCTCCATTAATTGTAAACTAGTAAGTTTTACTTTAATAACATCATTACCATTACTAGAGCATCAAAGACTCTAGTAATTATATACTAGTAAGTTTTACTTTAATAACATCATTACCATTACTAGAGCATCAAAGACTCTAGTAAATATATATTAGTAAGGTTTACTTTAATAACACCATTACCATTACTAGAGCATCAAAGACTCTAGTAATTATATATTAGTAAGGTTTACTTTAATAACATCATTACCATTACTAGAGCATCAAAGACTCTAGTAAATATATATTAGTAAGGTTTACTTTAATAACATCATTACCATTACTAGAGCATCAAAGACTCTAGTAATTATATACTAGTAAGTTTTACTTTAATAACATCATTACCATTACTAGAGCATCAAAGACTCTAGTAAATATATATTAGTAAGGTTTACTTTAATAACACCATTACCATTACTAGAGCATCAAAGACTCTAGTAATTATATATTAGTAAGGTTTACTTTAATAACATCATTACCATTACTAGAGCATCAAAGACTCTAGTAAATATATATTAGTAAGGTTTACTTTAATAACATCATTACCATTACTAGAGCATCAAAGACTCTAGTAAATATATATTAGTAAGGTTTACTTTAATAACATCATTACCATTACTAGAGCATCAAAAACCCTAGTAATTATATATTAATAAGGTTTACTTAAATAACATCATTACCATTACTAGAACATCAAAGATTCTAGTAATTATATATTAGTAAGGTTTACTTTAATAACATCATTACCATTACTAGAGCATCAAAGACTCTAGTAATTATATATTAGTAAGTTTTACTTTAATAACATCATTACCATTACTAGAGCATCAAAGATTCTAGTAATTATATATTAGTATGGTTTACTTTGATAACATCATTACCATTACTAGAGCATCAAAGACTCTAGTAATTATATATTAGTAAGGTTTACTTTAATAACATCATTACCATTACTAGAGCATCAAAGACTCTAGTAATTATATATTAGTAAGGTTTACTTAAATAACATCATTACCATTACTAGAACATCAAAGATTCTAGTAATTATATATTAGTAAGGTTTACTTTGATAACATCATTACCATTACTAGAGCATCAAAGACTCTAGTAAATATATATTAGTAAGGTTTACTTTAATAACATCATTACCATTACTAGAACATCAAAGATTCTAGTAATTATATATTAGTAAGGTTTACTTTAATAACATCATTACCATTACTAGAGCATCAAAGACTCTAGTAAATATATATTAGTAAGGTTTACTTTGATAACATCATTACCATTACTAAAACATTTAACCAAAATATCATTTAAAAATTTGAAATTTGCATCTAGTTGTATGCAAGCAAGTTAGTGTTGATACATTAGTAACATTACTAAAATATTTTACTAAAGTCAAAGGTAATTGGATGTCGAAATTGTTTTGATAAACTATTTTTGAGTTCCTTCCCTTGAATTGTTTTAATTGAACTTCTTTTGTCTGTTTTTTTTTTTTTTTTTTTTTGCCAGTTTTAGTCAATTTGCATTTATGTTAATAGATCTATTGTTTCTGTGTTTCAGACTACTTTAGATGTATTATATCAAGTAGCTAGAAGTTGTGAGAACTTATTAAAGTATGATTTAGGTGGTGTATCAGGAGTAACTAATGATATTATATTCTTATTAGTTACTACTTGTACTAAATTAACACATATTAGTCTTAAAGGTTGTAGATTGGTGAGTTTTGTTTATAGTTGAATTCATTTTTTTGATACAAAATACAACTCATTGAGTTGGTTGCTTGCTCACAATCCTGAAGTTCCAGCGTTCAATTCCGTCGTGGGTCAAGATAATACCTTCAGATGTCTCAACGCAGTATGCAGCCCATCAGTGATGTGACAAAGTGTTTAGTCATTCAGATGGGACAATAAACCGAGGACTGTGGTGTAAAGGATCTCTCAACAGTTGGAAGTCTAAAAAGAGTTTGCAAATGCTGCCTTTCTTGTACATTTTCCCTCATTGCACACTGCATGGCATTACCCAAATCTATGCAGAAAAGTAGCACATAAAATTCCATTTCATTTTATTTCAAAATCATTTCTTGAAATAAATGAAATAATTGTGTGTTTCAGATCACTGATTGTGCCTTAATAGAACTAGCTAGATGTTGTCCATTAAAGAGTTTGGTGTTATCAGGAATTAACAATCTAACCGATGCCAGTATATTTGCTCTAGCTAATAGTTGTCACCAGTTAGAAGAAATATATCTTAATGGATGTTCACATGTGTCTTCAGTAGCAGTACATTACCTTATTGTAAGTATGTTGCTTGTTTAAGTTGGGATTTGATTGGTATATTGAAGTATATATAATTAGCTCAACACCATGAAAACTTGGCCTTTTTTTTTACTTTAGTATCAGAAACGGAAATTGAGCTTTATAGTTTTCTGTATTGTATTATTCAGGATTGCTGTATAAAGAGACTCTATGTACAGCATGCAACACCTAATGCGCAACCATATCAACTTATGGCTAAAAATTTAGATACCGGTGAATTCTGTAGAGCTGATTTACTACAAGTGTCATAATCCTGTGAGGTCATCCATAAAATTTTAGGATCCATGTGAGAAGAAGAGATCCATGATATTTTAGAAATGAAATGAAGTGATCTATAAAATTTTGAGAAGTTGAAAAAATGATTTCTGAGAAGAAGCCAAGAAGTGATTTTGAAATTTTACAGAAGGGATCCATTTTATGATTTAAAGAAAAAAACTGAATGATTCTTTTACATTGGTGCAAAACATATTGAAATAGTCTGTAAACCTCTTTTACTGTGATATAAATAATATGGTAGCTATACTTTCTGATTTATTTTAACCTGTTTGTATGTAGATATATAAAATATCATTGAAATATCAAAATCAAATTACGCTCTCTTTCTTGCCCGAAAAAAGCGGCGGTGCCAGTCTCCCGACACTGGGTGTACAAACAAGGGGCAGACCTCCCATATGGGGTTGAATTAAAATAAGGCAGATCTGCCATAGGTTCAGGCCTCTCAAGGAACGTCTGAGAGGGTTCTCCTCAAGACAACAGTTGAAAAATAGAATTGGCAGCTTCTACATTCATGAACGTAATAAATTCATATTCGTACAATTCCTTAGAAATGAAGTGGGAGGAAATTTGAGGGCACAACCCTCTCCCCCTCCCCCACACCCAATACACCGGCACCGCCGTTGCCTGAAAGGGAGAGAGAGAACTGTTTTAGGAAAAATGTATCTTACGTCATTGATAATATATTCTTGTTTCTTTGGATTTGGATCAATATACAAGACTCTAGTGAACGATATATGTTTTTTTTATCAGTTTTTATTATTATCATGTGAATATTATTCCTTCGATCATTCTGGTCTCAAAAGTATATCTGTATCATTTTTCTCTGTATATAAGCTGGCTTGAAATTCCTATCTTAAATTCTTTTATAATTAATTTTTTTGACTACCTTGGTGTGCTTAATTTTTTTTTTTTTTTTGATTTAAACCTCAAATTGTATAGAACATAGTCTGAGAATGAATTTTCATTTTCTGACCGCTTATATATGTATATCATTTCCCAGACACCAGCATGAGAAGGTTTTCAATACTGGACAAAGGGGTATCTAAATAATTGCTTTTACTCAATGTCAATCAATATTTCTCCACAATTTAGATCAAAATGCTGCCTTTTCCTTAATATGTTAGCTCAATTGGACTTTTATGTTCACAAATAAAACCACATTGGCATTCAAATCTATTCAAATATTTTGCTACAACTTTTACCAAAATAATACCTATGTGCTACGTGTATGTGATATATTATTGTTATATTCTCTTATATACCACATTGGAAATCTATTGTGTTAAATTACCTCTATAATATAACTTATAGTTATTGCTAATTCAAACACATTGGCTATATTATAGTATATGATAGGTCTAATGTCTAAGAAATGAAGATCTATTAGCCATAATAATATTATTTTTAATTTGATGTTGTTATAATTTTAATTTTTAAAGCAATTGATCATTACCATTAAATTTTTAAATCTATGCAGAAATGTCACTTTAACAACATCTCTCCAAAATCAACAAGCGTCATTCATTTAGGTGATTTACCACTATGGCATATTAGCCAGTTTGCTAATTTCCTTAATACACCAATGTCCTTACTTAACTAACGTCCATTGTCTTTAATTCGCCAATGTCGTTAGTTACCCAAAATCCTTTATTCATTAGTGTCTTGATATCGCCAATGTCCTGCATTCATCAGAGTCCACAGTTCACCAATGTCCTTACTTTTACCAGTCTTTTGTTCGCAAACGTCCGTAATTTTACATTGTCCTTACTTAACCAACGTCTTTCATTAATCAATCCCAGGGCTGTAGTACTTATTTCGGCAGTGTTTTCACTTACCCAATGTCCTTATTTCACCAATGTCCTTGATTCACCAGTGTCTTTGGTTGCCGAAAATAATTAATTCATCAGTGTCTTTACTTAACCAACGCCCTTAGTCCACCAGTTTCTTTCGTCGTCAATGGCCTTAGTCTGTTGCCTTTACTTCGCCAATGTCTTGCATTCATCAGTTTCCACAGTTCACCAATGTCCTTACTATCACCAATGCCAATAACTGTCACTGAAACTTGCTAAATCATTGCAGAAAGCACGTTGTAACATTTTCATTTTAAAAACATCGGAAATTGAATAAAAGATTTATAAAAATATGCTATTAACTTCTATCTACCTGTAAAGTGGCAATAAATCTCGGAGTAAACCCGTTTTTAAGTAAGCAATTCAAACTAGTATTTGGTGTTGGGACTTTTAACGGCTAGATATCTTTATCTGAAACCTTCAGAATAAGTAGGAGACATATTTCTCAACAAGTTGGCGTTTATTTTATTTTATAGCATATGAGTTCAGCAACAACAACCAATAGCGAATTTAAAAGGCCGTGTAGCTTCGAGTCTGCGAACATGACGTATAAGTTAAAACTCGGAAAAATGGTTTGCATTTGTACCCTCAGTTTATTTCATACAAATTTGAAATATGAATTATGTTTTTGCCTCAAAATTATGCACCAAATCAATTCAATTTATCGAAAAATTTTCTTTCGATATCCCGCTCTATGGCAGGCTTAGACTATTACGCCTCTAGAAAGTTTCCGAATTTTGAATTTCAGCTACCACTTTAAGGTTGTCCCTCCATTTAGCCAGTTTGTCCCTATTTGTACCTCCAGTCTCAGGAAGCTAGACCCGTCACTGCTGTCATGTGTATTTGTGTAGGCCTATATCGAAGGCATTTTTCTCTTTTCCGTAGATTCGCCCTGGTAATTATAAAGGGTATTCAAATACCAAGAGGAATGGAAATCAGACATTCATAGAGAAGCTTTAATTTGACTTTGAAATGTACTTCAAAACGCCCCCGAAGTAGAAAGTAAACCTTATAGCTTCTATTTGTGTGAATGAGAATTTGTGGGGGAGGTGTGATCGTTGGAAAACCTTAAAATCCTCCAGTTCTTCAACCTGTTTAATCTACGTGACCTATGTGTACTGGAAATAGGCTTTACGGCAGTGGTGCATTCGAAACTGCGTTCTTGGTGTTATTTATCACATGGAAATAACTCACATGAGCGTAGTTAACAACCATCTTGAATCTCTTCCTCAACGTAAAAAGTCGAATTTCGATAGAGATTATAATGTTTCAACTAAGCCGAAATGACTTTAAATGTGATTTGAAGGCTTTGTTGAAACATTATAGCTTTTTTTAAAAAAGAAATCGACGTATTAAGTCGAAGAAGAGATTCTAAATTGTTGTGCACTACGTTCATGCGTGTTTATTTGCATGTAAGAACCAAACGGTGTTTCGAATGTGAATTGATGTTATACGATTCAAGGCCAGAGTTCTTGTATAACATATTTTTAGTTTTAATAACATTTCTGAAAGAAGCGTAATTATGTTCTCATTCAGACGTAGGATTGTGTGAAAAACTTTTTCTTTGTTACGATAAGTAGGGTATCGGCTGTCTTTGTCTTTTACTTCTGGTAATCATAATATTATTGATATTTTCAACATGTTTTTAATATAATTTCATAGAAAAACACCATGGATAGGAAGGACATTTCCTTGAAACTTGATTTTTCTTCCCACTGTAAAATGTGAAAGATTTCAAAGGGCTATTATCTCGCTACTTCCTTTTCAATTTAATATCATATTATTATTATAAATACAAAGCAAGCAAAACTATTCTTAAACTATTCTTTTTAGGGTAAAAGTTCGTCTGATGTTGAAAAAAATAGTTTTTACCAAATGAGTCACCGGAATTGTCACATTTTAAAAGGATTGTAAAAAGTTTTTTTTTTAATTTTTTATGTCTATTGGGGACACTGATATCACCAATTAATTTGCACCATTCTAATTTGTCAGCTGATGTCTGTGGCTCGTGCAATTTCAGCGTTTTATGACGTCACTACCGCAAACGGTGCAATTGCTATTAAAATATGAACTTTTGTAATAGTGACGTCATAAAACGCTTCATTTAAGTGGAATTGAAAATTGAAATGGTGCAAATCGATACCCATAAATATTATAAAGAACCTCTAAACAATCCCTTTTAAAGGTGCACCTTCACTATACGTTCGACCAATCATAGGCAACCTTAGTTTAGCATCGGTAAAAGTGTTCACAGCTCATCGTCGAAAATTGAGCCTTCAAATCCATGTGTATCTATAATTTTAGTCATCCATTATTCACGTTTGAAACTTAAAGTTTCGACTCCAATTATAGTGAGAATATATGCCATATATAGAAATAGACAGTGAAATTTCTAGTTTGAGGTATATTTGAAGGGATTATGCGATTTTCGTGCTTTTTAGTACCTCTTCAGACTATTAAAGCACAATAAAGACCCAAATCAATCCCCTAAAACACCGACTGTTCCCTTTTAACTTGGTATCTTTTATGAATCATTTTTGGTAACTCGCCTGCAGAAGCTGTACTAAGAGAAACTGAAAAACCAAATGTCGAAAAAATTTTGGCCAGCAATTTGAATGTGTCTTTTCTGTCCCAGAAGGCTCAGATATTATAGGAACAGAACTCTAACTTGGATCCTTCAAGCTGCATAGAGCTATGCTTGGCGTGTTACGGTTGGTGTTCAGAATATCCATAAGGTGTGTTATACCATACAAGAATATTGTTTGCGCTTGTTTGCTCTTGTTAGTGCTTTTTAGTCAGACCCACATATTTCATCGTGTTTTTGTTATGCTTTCAGTTTCTAAATGTCGTTCAAATCTTATATCCACATGGTTTTCTAAAACGAAAATATGCACAAAAAACAGTGAAAATCTCGCTGATTTGTTTAATCTCTCAAATGTAGCGTATGACATGACAGTTGAATAGTTAGTTTTAAAAATATTCTCTACAATTAAATGACAGCAATAGAAAAAGAAATTCCTCGTTAAGTTATTTTTGAACAAAATTATGCGATTTTTGTACATTTTCTAGTACCTCCTAAGACATATATTCAAGACTCAAATCACCCAATATTCTATTGCAAAGAA